AGGTGGTGATGGATTAAGAAATTCAACAGCCTACGATTGATTAGTAGAAAGCTCAATTAGCCCGGCCGCTGATCGATTTGCTAACTATGATCAGATTCTACTTTGTTCATTTTTATTTGCTGGGGATTCGGTTTCGCTCATTAGCAACAAAAGAGAGCAAATTAAGCCAGCTAGTGATAGATTAAGAAACTTGATTTGCTTAATAAATTGCTGAGTGGCGACATCACCAGTACCGGTCGGGCAGGAGTTTGAATAGTTTAGTATGCAGCCATCTGTAAGAGGTAATTACAGTTTTGAATATGTTTGCAAATCTGTTGCTATAGTTCTAGTTTATACGTTACAATGGAAGTGGAGATGAGAATGGCATTTCTTTGGTCAATGTCCCTGCAGACGAAAGTACTATTAATTGTAGAAAGCAACTTGTATGCACGGAAGAATATTATTTCTGTTTGAAGAACAGGGCAAGACCCCCGGCCAGAAGCATATAAGTACATACATATCTATATATGTACATGCAGCATATGAATACATGTACACATAGTTAAGCAGTTGCGCGATCAGGTGAGTAAGTGAGTGGACATGGCGGAAGGCGGAGAAGGCTCGGGCAGCCAGACCAAGTACCGTGGTGTGCGGCGCCGGCCCTGGGGCAAGTTTGCGGCGGAGATCCGCGACTCAAGCCGGCATGGCGTTCGCATGTGGTTGGGCACCTTCGATACCGCAGAGGAGGCGGCAGCGGCGTACGACCGCTCCGCCTACTCTATGCGAGGCAGGAACGCTGTCCTCAACTTCCCCAACCAGGCGCATGTCTATGAGACCGAGGCGTCGCCTGGCGGTGGTGCTGGTGCTGGTGCTGGTCCTTCTCCGTCGGTGGCGATGACGAAGGTTATTGAGTTGGAGTGCCTGGAAGACGGCGTGCTGCAGGAGATGCTCGATGGCCACGATAAATCAAGCAAGAGCAAATAGCAGCTATGCCATATATACATTTTGGCAGGGTAAGTGTGTTGTGTATCCATTGTATGGTAGACTTGGCCGTCGAAGAGTTGTCTGGTACGGCGTACACCGTGACGGCGACTTAATTCCCGCCACTACTCTCCGCTTGTAACTTTTTTTTTTTGAAACTGCACCCTTTGTTAAAGTTCAATGTTTCATAAGGATACAGAAGATATCGGGCAAAGATACAAGCCACACATGGCGCCCGGTAGAAAGAGAAGTACTCGCCTTGGCGGGAGCATGTGCCTCACCATTAAACTAAAAATCTCGGAAGGAGCTCCGCAGGGCCTTGAACTCCCTTAGAATTGTAACATATCGACATGGAGCGCCTGATCCAATATTAGCCACCACCTTAGAATTGTAACTTGTAAGTGTCACGTTTTGTGCCGCCCTGGGCCTTCTGGTTCTGGGCGAGCGCTGAGAATTTCTGAATCTGCTCACTGTTTGGCCTAATCTCGTTGCGCCTATGCTTGTGCAAATCGGTCAGGAAATAAGCCTGCCATGGCAGCGTTTTTCGCTGGCATGAGGCTACTAATAGTGGAAACTATCATATATTAGTATTGTCCATATGATAATATCTTCATCGTGCATGCATGATACATAGTAGTGTAATATTTATTATAATATGCTATCTACCTATGTTACTTTAACCTTCTCTCTCTTCTTTAATTGCCTGCCACATCAGCGTGTTTGCTAGTCTCGATCGAGTGCATGATACCGGCTAAGATGTCACCACTGGATCCGGCTTGCCTGCTCCCTCGCCATACTCCCATCCGTGCTCCCACTCCATCCTACGGCTGTCCTTTTCTCCTTTTTTTTTCTAATCTAATCATCTCCCCCCCTGATTTTAAGGGGATGGGGCCGCGCCTTATTTTGTTCCAATTAAATCATGCCACGTATGCGGGAGCACGGATGGGAGCACGCTGGGGGAGCAGGCAAGTCTCGTCCGTCACCACTATGGCCAGCCTGAGGCAAGCCAGTTTTGTTGCCACAACATCCCTTTTAGTTAGCGATTCTGTTAGCTTTTCTTTGACTTGTTTTTGCTTCGATCGGGACAATGGACGTGGTCTGTACAATATCTATGAATGAGTAGGAAGGCCTAGTTTACTAGAAAAGGTAGGAAGGCCTAGTGCAATCTCGGGTCGTGGGATGGCATGATTGCGAGCTCCAAGACATGTTTTCTTCTCTTCACTAAATAGAAGGAGAAAGAAGAAAAGCTATGGACATTGCAAGCGGCGCAATATCTCTTGTCTCTCTCATTGTGTTTCGTCTAGGTTGAGCAACAACAATTGGCATCAGAGCTGTGTGAGATACATGGTGGCTTAACAGTCCTAGCATCATGAAGGAGGAGGCGACATCAGAGCTGGCGGGCACGGGTCAAGGACATTGATGTGTGCTACAAGACATCGTTGTCGCCCGCCCTGTGTCGTGGTCGCAACCTAGGATGCAACCGAGAGGGCGAGATAGTGGTTCGCGGGAGATTGGTAAGGGAGAGCGGCTGTTGTGCCCAATTTCCGACACTCACCTGCACCAACTACGCTTGAGCGCTGGTGATAAATGTGCAACTCCGATCGCAAGGCCTCTGGGAGGCCATCAAGTTCGGCGATGACGACAGTGACGACCGGGCGGCGTGGCGCTGGTAGCGCCGCTCCACGCGGTCCTATCAGAGATGGTGTGCACGCTCGCCAGCAAGGATACTCTGAAGATGCTCCGCATGGGGTGCCAGCACATGCGGGATGCTAGGGTGCAAGTTTGCGGCCGCGAGTTGAAGGAGCTATGTTTCTGTGATGGTGAGTCAATTGAAGATTTTGCTTTATTCCTCACCGCAATCGTCAATGATCTACAACTCCTGAACCACCTCGTGACCGAGTACTGTTATGTGCTAAAGTTCCTTTGTGCGGTACCACGCAAGTATCGGCAGATGGCAATAGCCATCAAATCCTCTGTCGACCTGCAGACCCTCATGATCAAGAAGAACTATGGACGATGGAGGAGAGATGCGACCTCGATGACGTCGATTGCATCATTGGCAAGCTGGACGACCTGCAGTTGGCTCTTCCATTTTTTGAACATGAAACTACTAGGTCATATACTCTTTGAAGTTCATATAGTGTGGTACTGCTTTGATGCTCGCATCGAATTTCCTTTGGGCAGTATGATGATGAACTTGACGAGCTAATGCAAACGTTCAGAGGATTAGAGGTGTAAAGTCAAGTATTGTGGTTGTCAATGTGATTTCTATGTGTATGTTGTCGACGTTATAACGTTACTTAAATGTTGGAATTGATCTACGGTTGAAGCAAACGAAGAGAAAAAGAAGGAGGTGACTCCCCACATACATGCCCGGATCGGGGGCACCGAATCAACGACTTAATCTCGCTCCCATCACCTATATATCACGATAAGGGCTCCCGTTGGTTGGATATAACAATCTCACTGGGTTAGCCACATTCAGCTGCAACTATCGACCCTAAAGAGGTGCTAAGGGGATTCAAGGTCGTCTCCATCCCCGTCCACCGCAGGACTGTGTCGACGGCTTCCTGCTACCATCTATTCTGGCCTTACTTCTGCACTTCCTCCCTGATCATTTGCTCACAAATGGAGACCTCACGTGCCGTCATGGGCTACACCTTAAAAATTAAGCGTCTTCTAATTCTTGTTAGTCTCTAATTCTCCCCGCTAGAGGTGTTCTAATTTTGAGATCAAGATCCTATTTATGTTAATTCTAAATTATTATTTTTAACAATAAAGGGGCATTAGTTTCAATTATAAAGAAAATTCTTGCCAAACTTATTCCATTATTTTGCTTTCGAAAAAGGTGAAGCATGCTCCACCACTTCAACAACATCCACATTGAATGTTGTGGTTCGTCAGCTCCAGCAAGAGCAGCTATATATGTGGCCTCCAACCAAAGTGCGTGTATGTTATTAAGACAACAAAAACTAATGAATTCTGTGTATAAAATCGAAGTGGACGGGCTCTTAACCCAGTGGTCAGAGCAGTGGCGGAGCTTCGTGGGGTTCAGCCTGCTGGGCTGCGGCCCCCTCCCCCAGCCCATGAAGAAGTAGGTGAGTAGTTCTTAGTTATTGGGACATGAATCCAGAAAAACTAGCCCAACCCTCATAATTTCACCCCTTCTTGGCCCATTGCCCCACCAAAGATTAGGCCGAAGCTCCGCCACTCGATCAGAGTGCATAGTTGCATCCTAGCCGGCGCGGGTTCAAACCTTGGTTCTAACGCGGGTCTCACATTTCCTCCTTAACAATAATTAAAAAGCCGTAGGGGCTCCTCCTCTAGCTTCTTTTATGTATGGGTACGAGTTAACACATATATAGGAGAAATATAAGTCATGGTCTCTGGTCAACACGGCTTTAGATTGGTCTAAACTGGATCAAGGACCAAATGAAAGCACATACTAGCTAAGTTTTGGCGCTCGAGAGAAATCAACAATTTAGTGCACCATTAGTTGACACATTCTAGCATCATTAATAACTGCTGTGCACTAACCTCCCAAAAGATTTCATGCATGCCTTCCCTTTCTGCTTTCCGAAAAAGAGAGGAAAGGGCATGCAAGGACAGCAAATTAACCATCCATCTCTTTGATTGGTAGTTCGGGTTTAACCCATGTGGACAACATACCTTCAGCACGCCATCAGTTTCAGAACAGAGGCAGTGCATATCATCGTTTATATGTAGGTGCAACTGGAGGGAAGAAGATGCACCTAAATAAATAAGTAATGATACGACGGAAAGTTCTCCATTTAAAAAGATGGTAATGTAAAGCGGAAAGTAGGAGTAGGACACGCGGTTTGATTTAAAGGAAAAGCTCAAGTGCGGTGCGGGGCAGGCCCCAGCCCACTCGGTGGAGACTTTCTTTAAAGCCACCGGAGACTTTCTTCAGTTTGTAGCTTGGCTTCTCTGCCCCCAATTGACTCCAGTCTCCCCACTCGTCTTCTTCCTCTACCTCTCCTCCTTTACTTGTTTCTCCTTGACACCAGAGAGATAGGGAGATGGCGAATATCTGCGGTGACCCGGGAAAGGCTCGTGTGGCGGCGGATTACCGGCCGTCTAGCCCAGATGTGGAATCTGGTCTCCAAGAACCGAATTCAGGTGAGCTCTCAGATTTCCTCTCTTCTTCCTAGCAGCAGGCATTAAAGATCAAGGATGGGAATCAACTGAATCAGTGTCATACAACCATAGTTCTCTAAGCTTGATGCACCCTTAGTTTTCTTTGATAAACATCTACATATTTTTTATTTAGAAGTACTTTGTTCCGAAAACAGAGTACTTTTCCCAGTTTCAGAAACAAGGTAGTTTTCCCTATTTTTCAGAAGCCATACAGGCTGCAGGACCCATATACTATCACTTTGTGACGAACCGCAACCATATCTTGCTTGTACCATCCTATCTGTTTCCTATCTATGTTCTTCGCAAAATTCTGTGATGCTACTCTTAAAAAAACCTTTCCCATTCTTCCGAAGAAAAATAATTCTGTGATGATCAAATTCAGTATGTTAATGCATGTTCATTGTAAACAGGGACAATAAACTCCAAGACAAGCAGCAGTGCCACCACCAGTGTCATGGTCTCTGCCGGCAGCGACCGTACAAATGGTGGAACCAACCAGGGGTGTTTCCTCGGAGGCCAGATACTGGAGGCACCGAACCTCCGGAAATTCACATTCCTTGAGATCCAGACAGCTACCAGGAACTTCAGGCCAAATGGTCTCATTGGGGTGGGGGGATTTGGGTGCGTGTACAAAGCATGGGTCGATGAGAAGATGATGAACCCGACAACGAGTCGCCCTGCCATGGCTGTTGCTATCATGCATGGAAATGAGGAATGGCAGGTAAAATCTGGCCCATCATACACTGATTAAGTAAATCTTGAATTTTGAAATTCCAACAGAGTCGTCACCTCTAAATGTTGCTGCAACTACCGTGCGTAACAGAAATTTCTGACTGTCCACTTGCAATCGGACATAAACCTTTTGGGAAGGTTCTCTCACCCAAACATTGTCAAGCTATTGGCCTACTGCTGGGAGGGCAAGGAACTATTTCTTGTGAATGAGTTCATGGCCCAAAGGAGCTTGAAAGACCATCTATTCACAGGTGAGTTGTTGCTGATGACCATTTGTTTCATGGCCTTGCTCATGCTGGCTGTGCTTTTTCTTCGTGTCTGCAATTCTTGAAAGACCAATTGACTGAAAAGTACTGACACTGAAGCCGGAGGCAATTGTAATTAGTTTCAGGAAGATGTCCTCCACTATCATGGGAACAGAGGCTGAAGATCGCCATCGGTGCAGCTCGAGGACTTGCTTTCTTGCATGCATCAGAGAAGAAAGCTATGTACCGTGACTTCAAGGCTTCCAAGATTCTTCTAGATGCAGTAAGCTTTCTATCCTGCAATGTGTCTTCTATATGTTGTCTATTTCTGAAGATCTGATTCTGACCGCGTTTTGCTGTCAGGACTATAACGCGAAGCTCTCTGATTTTGGGCTTGCTAAGCTTGGGTCAACCGGCAATTCGCGTATGACTATCATGCCCACGCGCACCCACGGATATGCAGCTCCGGAATATGTAATAAGTGGTATGTGTCCTCACTCATCATATCTTTCCAGATTTAGAGTTTTGCATCAAATAGGTTTGTCGATCATTCATAACAATTGCTTTCTCAAGTGGTTAATTGTCATAGGAAGTTGATCCATGTGCTGACAATTCCTTTTGCATTCCTCTACCATCACCTTCCATAAAAAGAGCAAAGAATAAATGTGCAGTCAATTTCAATTATTATACCACATGATAGGAGGCACGGCTTGCCGTGCATTGCCCGCCTTCATGTGTGGTGACCCATTGGGCCATGCTCATTTTGTTGCTTCGGTGTTAACTTTATCGCCAAACTTAAACCAAGGGAAGAGGTTACAGAAGATCAAAGAGGAACATGCACATTTTCACTTAGCCTGTAGAAACCATATTTGGCGATATAAGGGTCCTGATCTGTTTGGGTCGTGTCCTCTTTGGCAATATAAGGGTCATGCTGGCTTCAGCATTGTACTCTCTTCTTAATGAATGACATGCAATTCTTCCGCATGGTTCGGAAAAAAAGAACATATGATTTGGAACACTAAATTTTGACTGTGTAGCTCATCTTTTAAAATTTGGAATCTGCTTCCTATGTAAACTAATATAAGACGTTTAAGATCACTAAAATAGTTTACATAAGAGTACATGTTGCTACATATACTAGCTGTTTTTAGCGGTTGGTGGTTATTCTCACTTCATGCTCTGAACCATGTCCAGGCCTTCTGTATGAGCAGAGCGACGTTTACGGTTTCGGGGTTATGATCCTGGAGATGCTGTCCGGTCAGCTTGCGAAGGATCCCAACCGCCCCAAGGGGCAAACCAACATCATCGACTGCGCAAAGTCATTGGCTGACCGGAGAAAACTCTCTCATTTTATGGACCCCCGGCTCAAGGGCCAATACAACTCCAAACAAGCCCATCAGGCAGTGCATGTTGCACTGAGCTGCCTTGCCGGGGAGCCTAGGAGCAGGCCCTCGATGAAGGTGGTTCTCGAGGCGCTCGAGCAGATCTAGGCAATGAAGAGCTGCAGATATCTTCATCTGTGATGTTGCTTTTTCTTATTGTATACATTTATAAGCATGTTGAAGGAGTTTCTGTTGGGATGACCATGCAAACATGATCGGTTCCTGGCTTGAATTAAGATGATTCTTTGCTTGTCGGTTCCTGCATTTCGGGTTCTGTGCTTGTCGCACCTGTATTTTATTTTACTTTTTGTTGGAGATGGAACTAGTTTTCCATGTCATAGTAGTAGTGGAATGGAAGAATTGATCAATGGAAGCTCCACAAATTTGGGAAATCATTGAGTGACACAACTTGCCGGTCGATGGAGGTTGGAGGCGATGCTGAATTACTTGTTGAAAGGGGATCCAATCTGAAGAGTCAGGTCTACGTACTGAAGGAGTAAGCTAGAACAGTGTTAAACTGTATTAGTAGTAGATTTATTGTTTTCCTTTTCCATGAGTTCAATTGCGGTTAATTTTCACCAGTTGTTAGAAGTGCTGGAGCTCTAATTAAGATCCAAACTACACATACTAGGTTAATTAATTAATTATCATACGGCAAAGGATTTCAAGTGCACGAGTCAGCTGTAAGATACAAGACAACAGCTACAGCTAGAGATGATTACAGGTTGTATAGCACAGGCTGAATAAAACATCAACTCAATAATGATGATTGAATAAACATCATTATTGAGTTGATAATGTACAGGCTGAATAAAACATCAACTCAATTCAGATTGAATAAACATCTAAATTCAGTTAAAGATGAGATACACATCCTGATCCTTTACACATTACTACTTAACAATAAATACGCAGTCATAATTCAGTTAACCATCTAAACTCAGTCATAATTCAGTTGAACATGGAATCATTTAACTTGTGTGCTAGTAGTAAATCTTTACCAGAGAGGAAATTTCCAAGGAGCAAGCCAGTAGTACTACCAGCTCCCAGTAAACAGCAGTGTCTCTGATTAGCATTGTAGTTAATTGATCAGTGCCTGAAAGCTAGAGTAATCCACTGTCTGTATGCAGTCTGCACAGATAGGAAATGTAAGATGATACGCGTACTTCACCAACTAATGTAGTGGGCTAGCATAAAGCAAAAAAATAACAATTAATTTAGCATTATGAACCAGAAATATACTAACTTCATTAGTTATCAGGCGGCAAGGAACTCCAAGAGCGTTAGCCAAGCTGTAGGATCATAGACAACAGCTAAAGATGATTAATTATAGTTTACAGCACAAGAAATCACAAGCAAATTAAGTGCATACTGAATGATAAAACATCTAAATTCAGATTGAATGAACATCTAAATTCAGTTAAAGATGACATACACGTCCCAGTCTTTTAGCCATTTCTACTTAATAATGCATACTGACATACATATCCAGATCATGGTAAGTCAATACTATATCGATCATCATCCAACTCATCAAGGTCTTGAACCTTGGTACAGGCAACAAAAACATGTATCCTATCCTTAGACTAACAGAAAAAGACAGTACAAGCTGGTCAGCTTCAGAACTGATATGTGCTGGCAAATGCTGATTGCATCATCCACTCGGTTAGAGTCACCGGTGTGCTTGGAGCAGAACCATACCAATTGATGGAGGCCACTTCATCGTCCGTGGTGTCGCCTGCTGTCCAAGAACCAGAAGTGCCAGCATTTGGGGCACACTGCAGGAAGCTGCAATTTAGCATTGTACTCTGGCCCTGTGACTCAACAACAGGTTGTGGTTCAAAGATTGGCCTGAACAAGTTGGCTTGATCAGAAATTTCAGAGAAGGGCGTGACTGAACCACCATGGAGGACCATGTTGTCATAGCCATAGGTGCTCGTCGTGGAACCGGTATGGTCGGACATGGAGAAGCTGTAATTGACCTCTGATTCAGGGACATGCATCAACAGGTCACCCCGAAGGACTTGATCAGAATTGTTAGGAAAAGGCATGCGTGCACAGCAGCAGCCGCTCACCGCAGAACCGGCATGGTCGGCCATGTAGAAGCTGCAATTGGCATTTGATTCAGGGACATGCGTCAACAAGTCGCCCAGGACTTGGTCAGGCGTGAGGGCGGACATTAGATCTTGAAGAAGCTCGTCACAGGAGACGCCATCCAAGTCCTTGTTCAAGTCTGGCTGTGGCTGGACGTGGACGGGCAGCGGTAGAATTGGTGCAGCAGAGGAAACAAGCAGCCGCCGCCTCACAGTCACAGGAGATGATGCTGGCAGTGGCGTATCTCGAGCCTTCCTCTTCCTCATCCGTGTTGATGATGTCGACGGAATGGGCGTAGATGATCTGGGCTTACGCGGGCTTCGATAGATCTTGCAAAGAGTGGGGATGGATTTGCCGGTCTCGTCCTCATCTTCTTGATCCACACCGAACTCAACCATGAGCCATACCTCCGCCTCAGATCCGTCGGCGTTGGTGGGCTTAGAGCATTACTAGCAGAGCCCTCAAACCCTCAAACCCCTAAAAATAACCGCTTTTTTACAGTTTTCGTCAAAAAAACTCCGTAGACTAGAACCTCTAAACCCTCAAACCCGTAAAAAAATTTAGAGGTCCAACCCTTAAACAACTTTGCAATCTGTAGAAGTAGGGGTTGAGGGGAAAATCTTCCCTCAACCCGCACTCCTCCTCGTCGCAGTCCTCCTCGCTCGCGCGGGAGCCAACCGCTCGCCAGCCCCCCGCCGCCTCCCGCTGCCTCCCGCCCCGCCGGCGATGGAAGGCCCCGCCGCGGCTGCGCCCCCGCCCGCCGCGCCAGCCGCTCC